ACCACCAGAATAAACAAATGCGAAAGCAAGGGCAGCAGGTAAGTGCACAAAGGAGTCCTTAATTCACCTTGATTTAGCCCCTTAACTGGATTTCAGATTCTATCTGCACTGTCTGGATTTGGTTAATCCCAGATCATTTCCCCTCCGCTTCTCCTTGTCCCCCTCCTCCCACTCTTTGGTCTTACTTTTCAGATCATTCTCAGTTTCTTCACTTCAGACCAACTCGACGAATCCTTCTCTTTCCAAAAGAAGCGGTTTTGGGACAAAGCCCTTTCCTGAGCTCTTAGCTCCATTTCACTGCCCTCTTCCCCCTCGCTGCCCCCCCTCCAGTCTTAGTACCTCCTACCCCAGCAGTCAGGGTGACCTTCCTAAAGCTTGGCTCCAATTAGGGCCCACTTCCTTTCAGCTGGGGTGGCCATTTCCCCTCCCCGGGGAGTCTGGTTCCACAAACATCAGCATGCTAATGACAGTCACCTGCTGGCTCTGGGAAGTCTGCTGCTTGCTCCAGCTTCCTTAAGGACAGTGGAGTCACTGAAAACACCACATTTACATGCTTCCATTCATTTAGTCATTCAACAAACTTTGATTGAGCACCTGCCAGACACTGTGCTGGGCCCAAGGGACCCCTTGAGGACACATGGAACACGAACACATGTTCTGTTCATGGTAGTGCCCAAGGGTCCACAATGCCTCTTCATGAAGGAGATGTTTTAAAAAATTGATTTTAGAGAGAGAGGAAGAGAGAGGGGGAGAGGGAGAGAAAGAGAGAGGGGAGGTAGGAGTTTGAAAGAGAATGGGAGAGAGTGAGAGAGAAGTAGATGGGGAGGATGACAGGGAGAGAGAGCGGATGAGAGGAGAGAAACAAACAGAGAGATACAGGGGAAAAGACAAACAGGAAGAGGGAGAGGCAGGGGGAGAGGTAAGGGGATGTGGAGGGAAGGAGAGGTATGAAGAGAAGGAGAGCATGGAAGAGAGAGGAAAGTAGTACAGAGTGGAAAGTAGCATAAGAGAGAGAAGGAGAGGGGAGAGAAAGGACAAGAGTGGGAGACAGGGAGAGATCAAAAGCCATTGGGAGGTGGAGAGGTAGAGAGTGGACGAGAAAGGAAGAGAAAGGAAAAGAGTTAGGGAGAAGATTGGGAGAGAAAGATAGAGAAGTAGAAGGAGGGGTGTGGAGAGAGTAAAAGAAAGAGGGACAGAGTAAAGGATATTAGGAGAGAAAGAAAGGCAGAGGGAGAGTCTGAGAATGGGAGGGTCAGGGAGAGTGATGCAGAGAGTGATTGAAACGGAGAGGGAGAGAGTGGGAGAGAAATAAAAGTGAGGAAGANCCTGACCAGGGACAAAACCTGAAACCTGGATATGTGCCCTGACTAGGAATTAAACCGGAGACCTTTCCGTGCACAGGATGATGCTTAACCAACTGAGCCACACCAGCCAGGGCATGAAGTGGATCTTTTGGTCAAACTCATCACGGAAGAAACTGACCACTCATGAGAGTCCTCCTGTCCACCCAGCACCAAAGACTGGGAGACACAAACCCAGTGAGTTTCCAACCTCTTTGTTGAAATAAACATAATCCACATCTCTCAGTTATTGGCCCACTGCATTGAGTGAGATAAGGTATGTGAAGCCCAGAACATAGTGAGCTAAAAACCTCTCTACACATACCCATGCACACTGACATACACACACTGACACATATGCCAATACACACAGTGACATGTACATACTGACACAGAGCAACACACAATACTGCAATACACACCTTTACATACTCACCGATGCACTGAAATTACATGCTGACATACACATTGATACAGACATACTGAAATACACACACACTGGCCAACATGCACCAATACAAACATAGGAGTAAATGCATAGGAGTAAATACACACACATTGACACATACTGAAACAGACACAGCAGACAAGCACACTGACATACAAAGGCACACCTCCTCGTACATCAACACCAACCCACACCCCAAGGAAACTGGGAGGCCCAGGCCCCCCGGGGGGGTTGCAGATGCAGGTGGCAGGTCTTGGATTGATGAAAGGGTTGCTGGAGACTTGAATTACACACTTGGTTCTAGCCTGAGAGATCCAGTGTTTCGGAGGAGGAGGACTCCGCGAAGTTCTGAGGGTCCCTAGGGACAGGAGGGCAGAGTGGGGCACACTGGCCGGCTACTAAGGATTCTGCGCTAAGGCGCTGGGCTGAAATCTGCGGAGCTTTGGTTAGCAGGGAGCACTAAAGCGGGAGGGCAGAACACCCGGAGGAAGGCGGGGTTCCCTGGAGCCCAGTACTCCACCTGCCCAGCTCTGCAGACCCTCCCCCACTCTGGGTATCAGCTCTCAGTTCTGGCTTCCAAATGCGTGCTCCTGGTCTCACCACCACCCAACCCCGTGTCCAGAACAGAAGTAGTAACCTCTGGCCCTTCCCGGTCCACGGCGCTCCAGCCTTTGCCAGGGAAGACCATCCTCGAAGCGGCCAGTCAACTCTGACTCCCCGCCCCCATCCGATCCGGGCCCAGCCTTCCAACGGTTCCTCCTACACAGCCTTCCTACGTCTCTTCTTTCTTTTGTATGCCCACTCCCCCACACGCATCCAAATCCTCTGGCCTCCTGTTCAGGACACGCTTAATCTGTTGCTTCCTGAGTGCCAGGCCCCGAGCTAGGCACTGGGGATGCATTGTGCAGACTGTTCGCTCTCCAGGTGCACTTTGCACTTAAGAAGCTTCCCAAAACAGGGGTGAGAAGCACTGTCCTGGCAGGTGGAATCAAGGGCCAGAAAAGCGCCTCATGTGGCCACCCCATTTCTCTGCAGCCTTTCCTTTCCCACAGGCCCAGGCCACTGGGTTGCCTCCCTTCTCCCTCTCTCCCCCTGGTTCCTGTTTTGCTGCTTTCTTCCCTCCTGCCTCCCCCTCTGCTGCTCCCGCCTTGGGCTGCTGCCGGGTCATCTCCCGTGCCCCCATCCTGGACCCCCTGCGGACCCAGTTTTTTGCCCATAAGCCTG